GCACTAGTGTAGATGCTGACTAGGAGCAAATTATCTCCTAGTCAGTCACACCAGTAGGGGGTCTGGTCCTTGCACTGCTCAGCTTCTGGCCCCCCAGAGGCCAGGAGCTGAGCAGTGTCAGGACTGGGGAGCTCTCTGTTTCCCCATTCAGCTGGGGGCTGGCCAGGAGCTGTCCTGCCAGTGGGGCAGCTGTCAGCGAGCCCCCGGCTGGGCTGGGATTCCCTGCCCAGCTGGATCTCACTGGCAGCTGTCTCGCAAGTAGGACAGCTCCTGGTCAGCCCCCTGCTAGGTGGGGAATGCCCCCTGGACACTGGGCTCACTGGTAGCAATGTGTCTGGATGCGCACAGGGCAGGAGAGCTCTCCTAGTTGCAGCAGCAGCTCTCTCCTGGCCCCACGCACATCAGGACCCCACTCCTGGCCCTGTGCATATCAGAATTGGCTCAGTGCCCCCTGCCATCCTCAGAGCTAGCACCCTTGTAGCAGGCTGCTCCTGTTGGAAGCAGAGTTCTTCCCAACAGGGTGCATGTGTAATCATGCTCCCAGGAAGGCTTACTGCACAGTAAAATACTGTGCAGCAAGCCTATTGCACATTAATAGCATGTGTAAACACACCCTCTACTGTGTAAGAAAATCTAACTCTGGGAACTTAAATTTCTTATCAGGCATAAAGCTATTGCATTCCCATAGCTTTTATTCAATTAAATAACTTGTATTAAGTTTATGCTATGTTTGATAACAGGACAGTGAACAAGGTAAACTCACTCACCTAAATAAAAAAAGGGAGCAGCATTATCTTAACACATTATGATTAGGGCTGTCAATTAATCACCCTTAATGTGTGCAATTAACGTTCTTGCATTAATTTTTTACTGCAACCTCCAGGCTGCCCAGCAGGTCAGCAGTGGCAGTGAAGAGGACTGCAGGGCAGCCTGGGCTCAGGCTCCAGGCTGCTGCACCAGGAAGGCGGGGGAGCATGCACACAGACACAAACAAGCAGCTGCAACATGTGCACGACCAGGAATGCAGCCTGGTGGCATATAGAGCAGCACCCAGGAGGCAACTGTGGAAGGGAAGGGGCAGGGGAGGCAGATCAAGGCCCCTACAGTGTGGGACGGAGTGGGCTGGGGCAGGGCTTGGGTGAATGGGACCCTGATGCCAAGGGGTCATGGGATGGAGCCACTGGTGGCTCATCCAGAGGCACAGGGGTGTTGCCTCCATGCCACTGCGTGCACCCCTAGGGGAGGCATGGGATGCATGTGCCCCCTGCATTTGTGCATGGGGTGGAGGTAGGCTGCCTTCTGTGGGCTGGAGCTCTGCCTTTGCCCCAGGAGCTGCACACTGGTCATGATGTGCATCCCCTACCTGCCTGGTGGCAGGGGGTACAACATGGCATTGCATGGCTCCCAGGGCAAAGGCAGCAGGGTGCAGAGGCCCAACCTGCAGCAGGTAGCCTGTGTCTACCCCGCGCACAAATCTCAGAGCCATGTGCACCCCATGCCTCCCCTGAGGGTGCACATAGTGTCAGGGAGCCAGGCTCTCCATGCCCCTGGACAAGCTGCCCACAGCTCAATCCCATAACCCAGGATGGGCCCCATTTACCCCAGCCCCTGCCTCCACCCCTGCCCCATTCCTTCTATTACCACAGGGTCCTCGATCTACTCCCTGCATCCGTTCCCCTCCACAGACTTACCTGCTGATCACTGTGTGTGTCTGTGTCTGTCTGTGTCTTCCCCCCACTCCCAAGCCACAGTCCCCCTGCCCCAGCCCTGCTGCTTCCCCTCACTTCTGACTCACAGTACCCCGCAGCCTGCCAGTGCATGTGAGGACACCCCCTTGGCTCCAACACCCCCCCACACACACACACACAGAGCCCCTTACACCTTCACAAATTCCCCCTACACCCACCTCCCAGCCATACAAAATACTTGCATAATTTTGCATAATTTTTAGTTTTTCTGCACATAATTTTGACTTTTTAGCTGTGCAATTAAAATTGTGATTAATTGTGACTAATTTTTTTAATTCCACAACTAATCACGATCATTTTTAATTGTCTGACAGCCCTAATTATGATTTTAGAATTATGACCCTGATGCTGCTGTTAGATGATGTCCTCTTTCTGTACCTGTGCCCTCTAGATTCTACACATTGGGTGGAATTCTATTTTCTTTTGTACATCTAAATGTATGGACACAAGTACATCTGAAGCCATTTCAGAAGGACAACATTTCAAAAGGGGAACTGTTCTTGGGAGCATGCAATAGCTGCAGCTGCTAGGTTATAGCAGCCACTTATGGACCAGCCTGGAACAAAACAAACGTAGCAAAACTGCTGGGAATTTAACCCTGGATGAAACAGCCTTAAAGTTGGAGTGGTTCTATTACATTGTTTCATTTCCAACTCCTCTACACAAAACTTCAGAGGTAGCAGCTGCTATGTGGTTTGCAGCAAGAATCTCCAAATTGGAGATTTGGAAAATGGTTCCAAATATGCATATGTCCATAGCCTAAATCAGCATTTCTCTACCTGTGAGTTGCAACCCAAAAGTGGGTTGCAAGAATATATGAAAGAGTTGCAAACAAACTCTAAAAATGGATTCTCCTTTAAAAGAGAAAAATGTGGAAAACTGGCTTTTCCCTTGTAGGCTGGCAGAGTTCCAGCCTGCAAGGGGCTGCTTGGGGGCCCCTATACCCTCCCCACCACACACCCACCCACCCCTTGCCCTGTACACTGGAGGGCTGGGGGCACGGGGCAGTGGGTCAGGAATGAGGGGCACTGGGTCAGGACTGGCCCCTGATGTTTACAAATGGGTCACGATATGAAAAAGGTTGAGAACCACTGGTCTAAATGACAGCTTTTTAGCCATGTAAGTGCCAAAAAAGCCACTTACCTGCAGGTAACTATTCCCCAAGCATGTGGGAATGTAAGTATGCACACATGGGATGCACCTACATGTGCCATTAATGCGCAGCAATAACCAGGCCTTATTGTTATGCAGTTTATTGCTCCCAGGTGTGTCATTTACATATGCACCTAGATCGCAGCCCATTGAGCTGGGTTGGACCAGCCCTAGCTGGCAGGAGGCCCAGGGGATCAGCCTGCCAGCTGAGGGCTGCTCCAATTTGGGCTCAATGTGTTGCAGAGGGGCTGCCTGTGCCAGGGGCATGAGGGTGCTTCAGCACAGGGCTAGCCAGCATGAAAAAACTCCACAGCAGGGTATTACTTATATTTATGAGTATTACCCTGCTATAGCATTTATTAGTTTTCTGCACCCTAACAGGGGCACTCATGTAGACACTGAGATGTTTACTGTGGAGCTAATTAGTCAGTTCCTCAATTAATGGCTTGTGCAGATGCACCCACTGAGCATGCAGTAGGCTCCATTCTGGCAGAATTTATGCACAGCCAAGTATTCATTCTAGCCATATAACAGCATCTAAGACATGAAATATATGGGAAGCCAAAAGCCCATAAATAGCTGAACATTTAAGGCCAGGAAACCCAGGGCTTAGGTTCCCTCCAAAGGGAATATGAAACTGCATCTGTCTGATTTCTTTACATAGTTCTAACTGCCACACCACAGGTCAGGCATAATACTGATCTCTTTTCAGTACTCTTTTGGAGATTGGCCTCCTGGACATTGAAGAGAAGTAAATATGAACCAAGAGGAAGAAATGAAGCCACAGAAGACAGACATGGTTTTCTATAATCAACACTCATGGCAACAGCTGTTTCCCTGGATGAGAGTAGGATTTGGGTTCTAGCCTGAAGTTTATTTGAACCTAACCCACTGCCCTGTATCTCCTTTCTTCATGTGATAGTAAACGCAATGGGCAGTAGCTCATCTTTAAAAGGAGGTGTCTATATAATGCCTGACCCATGGTGTAGTGGTTTGAGTACTGTACTAGCTAAGCCTGAGAAATGCAGGCTTGATCTGTTTCCAGGCAAAGGAGGGGAATTAAAACCCAGGTCTTCAGCTTCCTGGGTGAGTCTTTTTATCACTCAGCTATGAAAGGCAGCTCTCCCCCCACCATTGGTTTTCATTTAGTATGCGGGATCAGAACATGCCTAATCACCTCCAAGATTGGGGGCTGTACAAAATGCAGCTAGGACCATTTTTTCCTTTAAAGAACATGGTGATGGTGACAGCAATGGCACTATTTTACACTGTTGCTTACATCCACATATTATATTAAATGGGTATTGGATAAAATACAGAAATGGTCCCCGCAGGCAGGGACCAAAAACTAGTACTTCCCCACACCTGGTCAGTTGTGTATCCTAACTAGTAGACCAGCTGGCACACTCTCTCATCAATAAACTTTGAATTCTTGGTGCACAGCTTTAACCCCTCTACAAAATAGCTGTACCCGACCTGGTGGTTAAGGCCCTCCCCTGAAAGGCTGGACTGGGGAGAGAACCAGGGGAAATGCATTGTGTCAATACTGAACAGGTGTAATCAGAAAAGAAAAAAAGAGGTTGAGAAAGGGCATTTCCTTCTAACAAATGAATCTTTGTAAGGAAATTAGATGGATTTGGGGGGAGGCATTTTAGAGGGGGAGGGGCTATTTCTAGAAATGTTGACCTCTTGTGCTAGCGGTGTAACTCTGACCTGTTATCCATATGAGACTGTGTTTTGCTCTCTGGGACCTATGCTCACCTGACAATTTCCTTATCTAAATGACATTACTGCGTTAATTGAGATACAAAAATAAACTTTCTTTTATCCGATGCCTGTTTTTGCCTGCAAATTTTCACTCTTGGCTCATTACAGGAAAATAATTTTATTGTCACATTTGGATGGCAGCTGGAATTCTCCAAATGAGGGAAGCAGGGCAGAGGCTTGTTCTCTCATCTCTCCACAAAAATCTTTTAACATAAGGCGCTGTGATGTCTCCAGGCTTTAAGCGAAGAGGAACACAAGCATCTGGGCTGGATTCACTCGTAATGCTGTGCTTGCTGGTTTAATATAAAAAGACAGATGAAGGCAGACACTTTAATTACTTCATCCTAACTTTTTATTACAACATCAAGTAAAATGGTGAGTTACAGAAGAAGTGGAATGGGAGATAAGCACAGGGATGAAGCCACACACAAGCTGGTTATTTTTATACCTGCCAATGAGATTTTAAATATTTAGAATTCCTGTACATGCATCTTAATTTTAATTCTTAATGTCATGGTAGATCACTTCAGAACTATTACTTTAAACTATGAGGTAGCTACTAGGACTGGGACCCAGCTTTTTTCTTCTGAAATTTTCTGAACTGAGACTGTATTGCCACTGCAGCTCTCTCTGTCTCTGGTGCATCCATGTCTATGTCAAAATCCTCTTGAACTTTCTTCTGTCCATCTGTCCAAGAAAATAAAAAACAATATTAAGTTGAGCACATGATAACCAGCTGTAGTATAAGATGAAAAAATCTCTCTCCCCTGTCTCTCACATATCCAGTTCAGTTCATGAAAAGTTATTCAAAAACCTGAATGCCACCAGTTCAGCTCACATGGCTGACCAAATCCTTCTGAAGGCAAAACCAGCGACAAGCTCTCCTGCCATATAAAGCAACTGAGCAAAGAAGAATGAGATCAGTATTGTGCTTTGTATATAAAGCATCTCTCTGATATCATGACTGGATGACAGGTTTCTCCTTTATAAGGACTGGGAGACCCCAAAAGAGCACAGACTAGAGGCCTGAGATATCAATAACAGAGGGTGGTTCATGAGCTAGAGGCTTAACTGGGCAGTTCTGTGCCCTGAGAGATGGTGGCACATGGGGAGCAGCTACAGCTGGGCTGGCAACATGGCAACTGGGGGAGCTGCAACAGCTATTTTTCACTTCCCTAAATTGGCACCTGGGACTGGGGCTCCAGTCACCTCCTCTCCCCTCAACTTTGCTTACACTGCTGCTCATGAGTACCCCATTCAGGCAGAAATAATATTTCACCTTGGCCCTCACTCTGATTGATCTCAGCCTCCCCAAATATTTCCCAGATATTCTATGATCCATTCCCACATTCATCTTGCAGTCCTGGAAAAACTCTTCTACAAACTGAAAAGACAACTCTTTGGATTGTATCTGTCTTAATGAAGTGAAAACAGATAAGTGAGTAATCCCACAAGTTTAATCATAGCCCCCCTATAATAAACAATGTTATCATTGATATTGTTATTACCAAACTTAGACTGCCTATACAAATGCTCAGAGGTGTGTGGGTATGGGGGTGGGGTGGGGGGGTTAATTAGTGGTTCCCAGGCAGCTGCTTTAATTAAAATGCCTCACCATCACATGTATTAAGCCCCTGCACATTTAAAAATGGCTGTGGGATGTTTTAGCTGAACCTCATTTGACAAGGTTTAGTTCAAGCACCCTGAGACCACTTTAAAATACATGGGGACTTAATACACGTGATACTGTGGTGATGCTGCAGAGTTCTAATTAGAACATGGGACAGACTCAATTAATTGATTAATTTAATTAGAACACCAATGAGCACATGTGTAGGCAGCCTGACCAGTCCTACAGTGGCCTCTGTATAAGCAAACCACTTACGCATTCATGCAGCATGGCTGAAGCCAGGTTCAGGACTCCATTTATTTTGAACAGTTTACCTTGCCTCGTCTCAGACTGTAATCTGCATTATTCTACCCTTGTCACTCTCCCCTCAGCCCCTACCTTCTTTCTCCCTTCTAAAGCAAAACAAGGACTGCCTACAGTATTGCCAGCTCCCATGATTTTTTTATGAGTATTGTAATATTTGATGAATTTTGCTTTAAGCCGTAGGCCCTGGAGTCACAGAAATATACTAGCTTTCATTTAAAAAACACAAGAGAGTCTCTAGCCTTCACAGTTGCACACACAATCTAGAAAATGCAAACCCTAAAGACACAAAAGTTAAAATCCAAAAATAGAGAACGCTAAATGTAAGCTTAAAATTTAATGATTCTTGAAGCTTGATTCAAGATTTTTAAGTGGTTGAGATTGACAATTCTGCATTTCTTCTCCACTGAGTGCATCTACACATTCATTAAATGCACAGTAGTTACTGCACATTTAGTTTAGTACTTGCTTAATGAAATACTAACTAAATTCACAGTAATTACAGTTACTGTACAGTAGCTCCAGTACACATTCTTTTGTAACGTTTACTGTGCAGTAGCCTAATAACACTGTGCAATAGCATATTAGCACAGTTTTTGACTGGAACGCTACTGCACGGTGTTATTAGGCTACTGTGCAGTAAGCATCTCATGTAAACGTGCCACTGTTTACTAAAATGTCCAGCCTAGTGTAGACTCTGAGAGCCCTGCTCACTCATCCCTGCACTCATTAGGCTGTGTACAAACATTTGGGGAAGTTAGATCAAGTTAAAAATAGCCTCTTGATCTAAGGTAAGTCAGAATGGTGGGCCTAACAGCAGGGTTGGGGGAATGGGGGCCAAGTAGACTCCAGAGGGATCAGGGATATATGGGGGGACTGGAAGAACAGATGGGTCCACAGGAGGGATTGGGGGGGCAAGCAGGATCCATGGGGGGATCGGGGACAGGCAGGGTCCATGGGGGTGGTTCAGGAATTGGGAGGCGCACGTGGGGTTCACAAAGGTGTTGGTGGGATGCAGGAGCATTTAGCAGAATCAGGGGGAGTTGTAGGGTCTGCAAGGAGGCTTCAGGAGATGAAGACCTCTCTCCACCACCCCCTAGGACCAGGAGCTATTTTTAGCTCCCTGACCTCCTCACCCTCCTACAAACAACCCCTCAGTGAAACTACACCCCCCATCTCTCCCACGCCTCCCCACACCAAAACTTACTTCCTCACATCCCAGCATCAGTGAATTCTGATAAAACTGGCACTGGGAGCAGCTTGCAGGATTGGAGGGTTGGTGGGATGAGGCGGGTGGGGGAGGGCTGGCTGGTCCAAGAACAGGGTTGTTCACTCAGGGGTGGGACAAGGTGTGAAGACTGAGGGAGAGACTAAAAATAGCTTGGTGGCAGGGAGGAGGTAGATAAAGTACAACCCTGGGGCTGGGGCCAATATCTGTGTTTTCCCAGCTCTGGGGCTGTGTGGGAACCATACAGAAGTTAGATCAGTCTAAAAATGACCAACCTGATCTGAGTTAGTCTACCTTGGAGGTAAGGTTAAGTTAGATCAGGTCCCCCTTTTTCTGATTGATCTAACCTTCCTGGAACTTCTGTACAGTTTGCACTTAGATGGACTTAACAAGGGATAAATACTGATAAGTGCAGGGTACTGCATCTAGGGAAAAAGGACCAGCAGCATACCTACAGGCTGGGGAACTTGCTTCTCATCAGCAGAGAGGCAGAAAAGGATCTTGGAGTCATTATAGACTCCAAGATGAACATGGGCTGCCAACGTGGGGATGCAGTCAGGAAGGCTAACCACACTGACATGCATCCACAGATGCATCACGAGCAGGTCCAAGGAGGTGATTCTCCCCCTCTATATGA